GGGAGGGAGGAGTAGGCAGGTAGAAAAGGCAGGAAAGAAGATGGAGGAAGTGACAGTATAGTACAGTGAGGATGGAGGCTACAGAGAGGCAAGAAAGCAGGAAAAGGAGAGAAGCTGCAAGGGGGGAGGGAAGAAAGGAAGGCAAGTGGAAATAGCATGGCAAGGCAGACCAGCGGGAGAGGAGCGGTAAGATTGCCTACTTCTTGTTGTTGTTTTAATAGCAAGGAAAGCTTGTGGGTTTCCAAAATAATTTTTTTAATGGTTGCAGGTAAAGGACTATAGACTCCCCACCCTCCTTTCCCTTTTTTCGCCTTTTCTCCTTTCCTCCCTCCCTTCTAATTTGGCACACTAACAGATTGCTGTGGGGCTACATTTGGGCTGAGTCAGCATTCTTTGCTTGCTTGTTTGTTTTTGTTTTTACTAGGAATAGTTGGGAGAAAACCGGTAAGGGCACTTCATTTTTAATAACAATTAAAAAAACCCACGCCTGACTCTTACATGGCATGGTTTAATCTTCAAAGAGTTTTACTAATGAACTCTCCTTGCCCAGCCCATAAATTAGTATTGGTGCTTTGGCGGATGAAAAAATTGGCCTAAGTAGGATAAGGTGTTTCCTTGGAGTGCATGCAATATGAGCAGCATCGCTAGGGCTGGAACTTGGGAGGGGGGGGGATTGTTTTTGTTTTTTGCAATGTGTCCTAGGTCAAGTTGCAGAATATGTGGTTTGCAGGGGGAGAAATTTAATAAATCGAATCAAATAAAATAAACTATGTTCTGAATCCAAGCATGTCATTTCTCTGGCTCTTATTTGCATGGGTTCTTTCTGTTCTAATAGTTGCCTCAATTTGAATACACAACCGCTCTAAGTGTGTTCTGCCTGCACAAACACTGAGGGCATCATCCAGCGCCAACTTGGGAGCCATGGGATTCCCATAAGGCCTAGGGATTTTTATATTCCCTTCCCCAGGTGTTAGGTGAGTTAGAGTAACAGGCCATTGTGAGGAACATGAGAGCTGTGTACACTAGGGTTGCCAAGTCCATCTTCCACCCCCAGCGGGGGACTTTGGGGGCGTCCCTGGAGGGGGCGGGGCATCCCGACGTGATGACATCACGTTGGGAACATCCGCTCCCCCCCGCCCGCGCGCCGGATCTCCAGAAACCCCCCGCCCGTGCGCCAGATCTCCAGAAACGGCAGTTCCCTGCACTTAAAGGAGCCGGCGTTTCCCTTTTTAAATGCAGGAGCCGGCGTTTCCCCTTTAAGAGCAGCCGCATTTCCCTTTTAAGAGCACGAAGCTGGCATTTCCCTGCAAGCTTGTGGAGATCGGGCTTGGGAGGAAACACGGGTTCCACACACTTAAAGGGAGAGAGATGGTTGCCTGTGGGTGTTGGGGGTGGGGCTTCCCCCGCCGGCCATCTGGCCGGCAGCGGGTAGAACCCCCCCAAAACGGGGGACCCCTGGCAAACCGGGGGGGGGGGGGGTTGGCAACCCTAGTGTACATCCCACTGCATCCACGTTCTAGGCCTACTTCTCTGCTCAGTGCAAATTAATTCTGTTCCAAGATGGTTCGTTGGGCTTTATTGAGCCCTGAGGATATTCTCCATTTCTCAGTGCAGTGCTTGTCTGCGATACTGGATTGTGCTTTGATTTAAAGCAACAGCCAGCAACAAACCAAAATGGCGGACTGTTTTGTGGAAGGAGGGTGAAGGGTTGTACCTGGCCTGTAATTTCACATGTTCAAAAGGGGGATATTTGAAGGTGGAGCTTGTGGAAGACAGGGACCTAGTGGGGTACAATGCCATAGAGTCCACCCTCCAAAGTATACACTTTGTCCAGGGGAACTGATCTCCATAGTCTGGAGAAGAGCTGTAATTCTGGAGGATCCCCAGGACCCACCTGGAGGCTGGCAATTGCATGGACATTTTATTTGGCGGGCCTTTTTAATGGTGTATAAATGGCAGGTATCTTGAGGAGAGGGGTTTTACCTGAGTTTTTAGTTTGCTGGTTATAAATTGTCATGTTTTAATCCTGTGCCTCCATGAGCAATGAGGAAATGAATATTTCAATAAAATAGTGGTCAGTGGGGTTTTGGTGACCACAGCAACAAAGCCTTTGATGCCAGTTGGCTGAATTATTCTGACACAGAAGGGCTTGTTGGAGGCTGGATTGGGCCTCTTTGGTTGCTGTTGGCTGAGTTGCTCTGATGTCAGAGAGTGGATTGCCAACTGGAATGAAGGAGAAAGTGAGGAAAGTTGTGGAGTGCAAAAACAAGGAGAAAGAGAGAGAAGTCTGGAAAGGAAAAAATGGAGAGAGACTGGACAGAGGAGGAAAAGGGTATTTAAACCAGAAGCTGGGAAAGCCAAGGAGAATTGAAATGCATGTGCAGTTTTTCAAATAACCAGGCAAAACTTTTGTGCCAAACACCAGAGTCCATAAAGAACACTATGATGTTCTACAAGCATTGGATGAATTGCTTAGAATGACACAGCCGGTTTATACAACCTCAAACAGGTTGTTCCTCTATGGGATCCTGCCCTTTTATAAGGCTGAAAGATGCCTGCTTGCCTAAGGCCATCTGGTAAATCATGGCACAAGCAAGGTTTCAACTGTGGATTTGGTTCATAGCTCAGCGCCTTCAGTGCTATGCTACACCAGCTCGATATCCAAATTCTGTTAGGCTTGGCAGAGTACACTGAAGGATCCACTAAATACCAGTGGGGAAACTGAGATGCTCAGAATATCCTGGATTTCAAAAAAAAAGCTTGGATGCTTTTAGCACGTTGTAATGTGTTCAGCCTGGTGACTGACATCTAGGGCTCCCTTGGCACTCGTATTTTTGGGAAATACTGACTTAGCTGAGACAATCCCTGTCCCAAAAAATGGTTATGAAGTTATTGAGTTACTGATGAGGCATTAGTAAGGCACGCCTGCGTGGCGGGCTAGAGTGACGCAAGGAAACTAGCGGTAAGCACAAAAACGTCAGTGTTCTCGCTATTATTTTCTGTTAGGAAAGGTCCTGCAGTCGGCTGCATGACCTCTGTGACTGACGTACAAGTGTCCGTTGCTCCAAATGAACCCATAATATTTGAGTCACTAATAAGTGGTGGTAATCTCTTAAGTACACATTACCCATCTAAGTAATGCTTTTGATTTGTCTGAAAACAGATCCTTGGCTGTCTGTTTCCATCCTTTGCAACGGGGGGATAGCGATGCATAAAAATGTTTTAACACATTGGATTTCCACTGAGCGTTAGGTGGATCGGTTCAACACTAGATTCACCTACAAAATGTGCTGTAGGATGCATCCATACCAACGTGATTGTTCCTTTAGGTATCAGTTCATTGAGGACTCTGCCCCTCCTACTCTGGAGAATTCCATGAGTCATCCAAATGGCATCCTTGCATGTAATACTGACCAGCTTCTTCCTCCTGTATTAACTGTCTTTTCTTTCCACAATGCGGAAAGTTCACCTGCAGATATACCACTTTGCTAGTATGTGGAACAACCCTGGAAGCCAGGGAGGAACAATTTTGCACCCTCAAACTCTTCCCCTCTAGAGCTCCTGCCTCTCCTTTCCCCCCTTTCACTTGGGCTGGATCCATACATAGTTGGCTATTTCATAATCATTTACCTTATGGATTATCTGGTCTGTACAGGGAAATCCAGGTGAATTATTTTGATAGTTCAATATCCAGTGATGTGTGGATCCTGTTGGTTGTCTTGATCCATCTGGATGGTCGTGGGTTTGGTGTAGTGGTTAAGAGTGCAGACTCTAATCTGGGAGAACCAGGTTTGATTCCCTACTCCTCCACGTGCAGCTGCTGGTGTGACCTTGGGTCAGAACCTAAAAAGGTTAGTTAAGGATAGAAGAGGGCCAACTCTAAAAATCATACAAAAATATACATGTATTTATTACACACAAATTAAAATAGCAAAGAAGGGCCCATTCATACCTCATAAACAAACATATATATAAGGGCTAATGAAGTAGACCTAACACGTTTCGGCCTAGGCAGGCCTTCCTCAGAGGTCTAATACATATAGAACATATAGGCTGATACATACAAATATAGGCAATCATACATATCCACAATATGCAATAAAGACCAGAGATCAATTGAAAGTATAGCCACTGGGCAAGGAAGAGAAATACAAAAATACAAATGAAGACTCCAGTACAATCACATGTCCAGTAGCACTTCTCTCTGGTCTATTATATATTCTTCTAAGATTGTGCAGCCAAATGTTCCCAATGAAGGTTCCTTAAGTTAAAAGCAGTGTTGATCCAAAAAAAAGTTGAGCCTATATAGTAGATTCAGGGTCTACTTCATTAGCCCTTGTATGTTTTTATATATATGTTTGTTTATGAGGTATGAATGGGCCCTTCTTTGCTATTTTAATTTGTGTGTAATAAATACATGTATATTTTTGTATGATTTTTAGAGTTGGCCCTCTTCTATCCTTAACTAACCTTTTTAGGTTCTGAATTCTAGGTTTTAGGTTCAGTTTTTTTTTCCCTTTTCCCTTTCTGTCCTTAGTGACCTTGGGTCAGTCATAAGTTCTTTCAGAGCTGTTCTCTCAAGGACAGTTCTCAAGAGAGCTCTCTCAGCCCCACCTACCTCACAGGGTGTCTGTTGTGGGGAGAGGAAGGGAAGACTCCAAGTGAAGGGCAGGATATAAATCCAATCTCCTCCTCCTCCTTCCATCTAACGCTCAGCTGTGTTCAGTATTCCATCCCATCAGGAGAATTTTCAATCCTTAGCCAGCCATTCATACATTTGTTTTCATTTTGGTTAAACTACAACGTTTGGGTTACTGCCTAGCCATGCCTAGAGTGTCCCTCAAATTGGTAGTGGCTCCTTATTTTATCTGTGTCTTGCCTGGTTTGCTGCATTTATTATCTGCACAGGGGCCAAGCAGTTTGCTATTAAATTTGACAATGATAATTCTGGAGGAACTAAAACGCATGGGTGCTAATGGATTGGTTGTCTGCTTTTGCAGTGGAGCACGACAGGGAGTTCTATCACCAGCGCAGCCATCATCGAGAGTTCCGCTTTGACCTCTCCAGGATCCCTGAGGGTGAAGCAGTGACAGCTGCCGAGTTTCGGATTTACAAGGACTACATCAGAGAACACTTTGATAATGAAACATTCCAGATTAGTGTCTACCAGGTTCTCCAAGAACACCCAGGAAGGTGAGTGCCTGAAGGGGGGGAAAAACACCCAGCATGAGCCAGTGATTAATAATACTTAGTTTAAATTAATGAGCATCTGTAGCAATTTGATTTGGGGGGGCTGTTTCCCACAGATGTATATTTGGCCCTCTGTCCTCATTTGGGGGTTCATGCTGAATGTGTGAACTGAGGCCATGGAAGAGTTGAGACTAAGGTGTCCTGAGAAGATACTAATGTGAAATGATACAGAAGCTCTTCATCTGTGACCACCTGTTCACACGTCCGAGTGATCACTTAGTGTGTGGGTGTTAAGTGATAAGTGTGCATGTCTGTACTCAGCCTTGAAGTAAAAGAGTCATGGGTCAGCACCATGGCTCTTTACAGAGCGAATAAGCTACTTTCATTGATGAGGTGCAAATTTATTAGCAATCCAGCATCTGAGTAAAATCTTATGACGACGCATTGGGGTGGATCCAGCCTTCTTCCAGTCTAAGGAGCTTTCCTCCAAATTAGGGGCTCCTCCTCCAACAGAAGAGCCAAACGTGAGCCAAAAACATAAGGTGGGTCAAAAACAATTTTTTATAAATAAATAATTAATAAATAAACTTTGCTTAGTGGATTGGCATGGTAGGGGTAGGATGTACCTCATTTTTAATTTATTTTTTTTAAAGAAAAAACAGGAAAAAAAGAAGGGGGAAAACTCAAAATCCAGCAATTACTTAAAAGGGGGGGGGGAGTATATATATAAAGTAGAAACAAAAATGTAACAGCAGTGGTGGCAGATCTACACATAAGTTTCTTCATGCACAATTGTCATCTATATTGATAAAGTTATAAGATCCTAAATCCATTGATTTTCAGAAAGTGGGCCTTTAGTTCTCCAATGTTCGTCTGAACCGAATGCACCCCCGAAAATGGCCCATTCAAGTCCCCTTTCAGGCTCCTGTGGGTAGATTCAGATTCTCTGATCTGAATTGGCTTGCTGCTGAATTTCGGTGGCATTTCGGCCCCATTATATCCTATGGGCTATTGAAGTCAGTGGCGAAAACATAGGGTATATTCTGGGGGCTGGAGGGGAGAAGGTTTATATTCTGGGGGCTGGAGGGGAGGGGGTTCGGGGAGAGACTCCAAACTTGCAGGATAGCTGCTGGAGCCTCTCCCAAAGATACCCACCAAGTTTCAAGACCATTGGACCAGGAGGTCCAATTCTACAGCCCCCCAAACAGGTTGCCCCTATCCCCTCTATTGTGCTCTATGGTGGGGAAAAAGTAAATACTCTACTACTACTTTGAAGGTCATCAGCCCCTTGTTGACCTAGACTCAGATGATGGGGAGAAAATCTTAGTTGAGACAGATCTGACCCATAAATGGTTAGCATGCTTATGTTCCTTTAAAAAAAAGAATTTTGCTTTAGACTACATCTGCTATTGAAGATACGTACAGCTCACTAAATGAAAATAAGGGTCAAGAAGCGAAAGTTAGAACCGGATATGGAACAACTGATTGGTTTAGCATAGGAAAAGGAGTACGACAAGGATGTATATTGTCACCTTGCTTATTTAATATATATGCAGAGTACATCATGCAAAATGCTGGCCTGGATGAATCACAAGCGGGAATTAAGATTGCTGGGGAAAAGATCAACAACCTCAGATATGCAGACGACACCACTCTAATGGCAGAAAGTGAAGAGGACCTAAAGAGCCTCTTGCTCAGAGTAAAAGAGGAGAGCGCAAAAGTGGGCTTGAAGCTCAACATCAAAAAAACTAAGATCATGGCATCCGGCCCCATCACTCCTTGGCAAATAGAAGGGGAAGTCGTGGAAGTAGTGACAGACTTCACGTTCCTGGGATCCCAGATCACCACAGACTGTGACTGCAGCCATGAAATTAAAAGACGCCTGCTCCTTGGGAGGAAAGCAATGGCGAACCTAAACAG